GCTCTTCTGCCGAGGTAACTTCAGAGGATGTAGCGGAGCCATTGGCAGCCATTTCGTCATGTGGAGAGAAAACCTCCCAAGAATGAAGCCAGCAGAAGCAGAGCCAAGAGATGGCTTCAAACTGGGCTCTGATCACATCATGTGATTCCTGAGACCAGCACTAATCCTGGACTTTTCAGTTATGAGAACTGGGATGGTTAAGGTTGTGTGTCAACTTGGCTGGGCCATGATTCTCAGTGGTTTGACGGTTTCGATGTAGTTTGGCAGTTATATACTGATGTAATCACCTCCATGATGAGATCTGATATGAGCAGCCAATCACTTGAAAGGGATTTTCCTTGCCGGTGTTGCCTGCATCCAATATACATGGACTTTTTGGCTAAGCTCGCTGGCTTTTGCTCTGCTCTGGATCCTGAATTCAGCTTGTCATCATCTGACCTCTGGTTCTTGGAACTTGAGCCAGCAGCCTGGCTGTTATATCTGGCGATTTTGGGTTCGTCAGCCCCTGCAGCTACGTGAGTCAGGAGAAGCCTCCAGACTGATAGCTGACCCACAGACTTGGGACTTGCCAGCCTCTACAACCGCCTGAGCCATTTCCTTGATATAAATCTCTCTCTCTAGATATATATATACATATGCTTCCCTGGTTTTGCTTCTCTAGAGAACCCAGCTTAAGACAGACCCATTACATTTTTTTTTGCTTAAGTTAGTTTGAGTCAGGTTTCTGTGATTTGCAGTTAAGAGTCCTGACAGACATGTTCATAAAGATACGATGCGATAACTCAGTCCTGAGTCGCAGGCAGTTCATGCTGCTTTGCTCTGGATCAGAAAACAGAATCAGGAATGTTTGCACAGTGCTAGTTCACCCTCCTATTCGACACGAGAATCTCCTGAATTCATAAACACTCTCTTCTGATTTTTACCTTATTAGTGGTTAATTGGAGTCACTGGGTGGCACAAACGGTTAAGCTCTCTGCTACTAACTGAAAGGTTGGCAGCTGGAACCAGAGCTTTGAACCAGCTCGTTCCAGTTCAAACTCCTGCTGAGAGTTTACATTTCTAACAAGTTCCCTGTTGAGAACTTGCATTTCCACCCCAGATAATGTAACATAATCTACATTTTAACAAGATCCCCCGGTGATCCTTATGTATAACTTCTTGGGAACTTGTTAGAAATGCAAATTCTCAGCAGGGATTTTAACCCATCCAGAGTGGCCTAGGAAGAAAGACCTGGAGATCTGCTTCCGAAAGGTCACAGCCACGAAAACCCTATGGAGCACAATTCCACTCTGACACACATGGGTCGCCCTAAGTCAGAACCCACTCAGTGGAAACTGGTTAATGGTTAAATACTGATGTAAAGGAGAGCTCACTTTCATCTGTGAAGTCTGTTCCACATTTTTGATTTATCACATCATTAAAAATGTTTCTTATATTGAACCCAAATCTATACCTGTGAAATTGCTGTCAACTAATGTCTTAGTTGGAGCCCTGGTGGCACAGTGGTTAAGAATTCGGCTGCCAACCAAAAGGTTGGCAGTTCGAATCCACCAGCCGTTCCTTGGAAACCCTATGAGGCAGTTCTACTCTGTCCTATGGGGTCACTATGAATCAGAATCGACTCGATAGCAATGGGTTTTTTTTAATGCCTTAGTTATCTAGTGCTGCTATAACAGAAATATCATAAATGGGTGGGTTTAACAAATGGAAATTTATTTTCTCTTTTAGGAGGCTAGAAGTCCGAAATCAGAGTGCTGGCTCTAGTGGAAGGCTCTCTGTGTTGGCTCTGGGGGAAGTTCCTTGTCTCTTTCAGCTTCTCTTCCTCTGTTCCCTGGTGATCTTCATGTGACATCAATCTTTCCCCATTTATGCTTACTTGTTTCTGTGCCTAATCTGCTCTTTTTATATCTCCAAAGTGATTGGCTTAAACCATAGCCTACACTGACATAGCCTCATTAACATAATAAAGAAAACCCTATTCCCAAATGGCATTACATCCACAAATATAGGGGTTAGGATTTACAACACACATTTTGCAGGGACACAATTCAATTCGTAACTGGGAAGAGCTGGGTCAGGAAGACTCCCCTAAATGTGTGTTGAACAATTAGCCACATTTGCCACGGGCGAGGTGAAAGATGGTAGCTGTCTGCCATGTATTTGCCAACCAAATTCAGAGATATGAATAAGGCCCTCCCCAGCTCAGTCTATCCAAACCTACCCATCCTTCAGGGTCCCATTCACGTACGCCTCTACCTTGAGGCTACTGCTCTCTCATGTCTTAGTTCAGTGTTTATGTCTGTACCACATGCTTGTGATTGTCTGTTATTTATAATTGCCCACTGCCTCTATATACGCCTGGAGAGGCAAGAGTCCTCCCAAATTGGGAGGATTAAACCTTTGCTGTGGTTAATTCAGTGGGAACTGAGCTGTGGACTATGCTAAAACTGAATGAGAAACCACAAGGACTAGCTACGAAATAAGCAGCTCCTCGAAGGTCAGCGAGGTGAAGGAAGAGGCAGTCCTCCCGCCCTCCCTTCGGCCTGCTTCTGTGCATCCCCTGGAGCAGGGGACATAGAGGCGGGCTCATTGGCTCCTGGAGTGGCACAGGACAAGGGCAGGGCTGAGCTTTGTCCTCAGAGCACTCAGGGCCTGCCCTGGGAGGGGAGAATGCTTCTGGAAAGGCTTTCATAGCCTGCCAGACCAGGAATTCCTTAAGGAGAAATATGCTAAACGTGTGTGTTAGCTTTTGGATGAAAGGGTGTGTGACACCTGGAAACGGCGTGGGTGAAAAGAGCATTTCAGTGTTAAGTACATGGCAGACTCCTTTGCTTCTTCCTTGTAACACAACTCCAATTTTGTTCAAGTGTCAGAAAACCTGTGGGGAGCCTAGTGCCCTCTCCAGGCTTAGGAGTGACTCTTGATTAGTCAGACAGCCAGACATAGTAATTCTCTCTTGGCCATGATTGCCTTAGGTGTCAACATAAATGCAATTCTGGCCAATAAGCTGCAAGGGGAAGTCTGTTAGGGGACGTCTAAGAACAGTTTTATTCATTCCTAAAAACGACCATATGAGGTGAAACTTCCTTTTTTCTCCTCTGGATGTTGCTGTATGAGGATATGACGCTTGGAACCGTTGCAGCTATTTTGTAATCATGAGGGGACAAGTCTGAGACTATATTGAGGATGGCAGAGTAGGAAGAAGAAAAGAACCAGGATTCTTGATGACTTTGTTGAGCACTGAACTAACTAAATCTGGAAATTTCACATCTCCAGATATATATATATTTTTAAACCACATTTCATAAATTTTGAGATGTATAGTGTTTTACATTATAACATTTCTGAGATCAGGATGCCTCTCTCATGGGATGTCACAGTTAAACTGTGAAAAACCCAAACTGTGAAAACCCAAACCAAACAAAACCCGTTGCCGTCAAGTCAATTCCGGCTCATAATGACCCTACAGGACAGAGTAGAACTGCCCCATAGGGTTTCAAGGAGCAGCTGGTAGATTCAAACTGCTGACCTTTGGGTTAGCAGCTGAGCCCTTAACCACTGCACCACCAGGGCTCCAAAGTGGAACCTAACATAACTGGGTGTTTTACAATGAGCTGCATCTAAGATTTGATGAAAAGTGGAATGTCTCAAGTGTTATTCACCTTTTAGTAGGTTTTCTGTGACTTTCCTCTGAAGCATCCTACCTGATAGGGATGTTCTCCTCACAGTAGGGAGCTCTGTGGAGGAAGCCCTGGAGGAGGAGGTCATGCAGCCTGGGCAGCCCTTCATGAGGATGCCTGTGGGGCTGGGCTCTGTGTCTCCTGGGAAACGGGCTCTACTCTTCTTGGGGTTTGGAGAAAATCCCCTGTGCGGGGCCCTCCTTCTCTCCAAGCACAGAGGTTACCACAAGCAACGAAAGATTACATCTGGCACTGATCTTAACACAGCTGGTCAGACAGAGGTGTCACATGTAATGACAATGATCTTGGGCTTTTTGAAATCTAGAGTCCAGGCCCCCTTAGCTGGAGAATGAGAAAAGGCTACAGAAGTAGATAAAAAATAAAAACGAAACTAAACCAGTTGCCGTCAAGTTGATTCTGACTCGTGGTGACTCCATGTGTGTCAGAGTAGAACTGTGCTCCACAGAGTTTTCAATGGCTGAGTTTTCAGAAGCCAGGCCTTTCTTCCGAGGTATCTCTGGGTAGATTCAAACCACCAACCTTTCAGTTAGTAGCTGAGTACTTAACCATTTGTGCCACCCAGTGACTCCAGAAGTAGATCAGATGGAATTAAACCCAGGAAAATTACTCCTAATGCTATCTCAGAATTGGAGGCTACAACCCACCCCCACACTCCTCACCCCCTTCCTACTGCAGGCAGGAGGCAGAGCCATTGCCCGGCCAACCCCCTAAACCTTCCTCCCTCACTTCCTCTTCTCTCCCTTCTCTCTCCTCCTTTTTCTTCTTCTGTCTTCTTTCCTCCCCTCCTCTTTGCCATCCCTAGTCACAGTTATATTTCTTTGCTAGACAATTTAAAATACAAGATCACAAAATAAAATCCTGACTCGGCAGGGGCCTTGTTGGCCCAGATGGACCAGTGAATGACTGACTGTGTGATGTGCATACTTCACTCAGGGGGCAAAAGGGAGCTTTCTGATTCTTTGGAAATAAATTTTAGTTGTATATCCTCTGGATTTCTTTCCTTGAAGTAGCTGAAAGACATACAAGGGATCTAATCTTACCAGCACTGGTCTTCCTTGATTTTGAAGAGCAGAAGGGATGAGGCAGGTGTGGGGTTGGGTCCTCTCTCACCTCACCCGAGCATCCCTGAGGGCCAGGTGGAGTGTGCAGGGCTCAGGTTTCGGCTCCTTTCTACCTCTTTCCTGCTCCTCTGTCCCTTCCTTCCCACAGAAGTCCAACTGCAGGCGATGTTCTAAGCCTAATTTTCCTCTGGGGCAGCCCCATCCTGAGCTAACGCTTAGGGAAGCTGAAGTCACTCACCCACGTAGAAATACTCTGGGGACTTGTCCTCTGATGATAAATCCTTCATGGTGCCTCCAAACCGAAACCATAGTCCAAAAGCAATGACCGCCGACCCTGCCAGCTGAAAGGTAAACAACACCGTGTTTACGAGGGAGGGGAGACGGTATGCACAAACCCAAGTCACAGAGTGTAGACCGCTGACCCTCAGACATCACCTAGCCCACCCTTCACATTTTACAGGGGAGGAAACTGAGGGTCAGAGGTGGAATGATGTGCTCCAAGCCTCCCAGGTCCCTGGTGTCATAATAGGATGTGGGGTTCCTGACTCCAAGCCCAGGATTTTTTCTCATTCTGCCAGGCTGCCTGTGGTTATGGGACACACACAGCACAGCCTGGAAGGCTTCTCACAAAGAATAACATTCCCCTTGGATGGCATCTTTCCCCCGCCTTATCGTCCCTTGCTGGGCAATTTGGACCTCTCCACCAATACCATCTGGAGTCCCTGGGTGGCACAAACGGTTAAGTGTTCAACTACTAGTCAAAAGGTTGGTGGTTCGAACCCATTCAGAGGTGCCTCAGAAGTCAGGCCTGGAGATCTGCTCCCGAAAGGTCACAGCCTTGAAAGTCCTATGGAGCACATTTCCACCCTGCACACGTGGGGTCGCCATGAGTCAGAATCAACTGGACGGCGACTAACATCACCACCAGAGTGATAGGTGACTGTGCTTCAGCCGCTGGGTCACCAAGAGCAAGATGAACTCTAAGACCTGGGGGAAACCCACTTTTCTAAATAGGAAGAAACACACCAACCTCAGACCCCACCCACACCTCATGCGTGTGCAGTCCCCAATTAGAAAGCTTTTTAGAGATGTCTATAACCCTTTCTCCCCCCACTCCTCGATGGTTACTATGCTGCCTGGGGATGGTTGCAGGGAGGGAGCCTGGCTGGTTTTTTTTCCCCCTTGGTTGCTATTTTGAGTTTCCATGGAAAGTGAGAAAGGGAAAAAATAATTCTCTGAAAAAGCGAGGTCTGTGTGCTGTGTGGCTCCGTGGAGAGGCTGAGGGCTGGCGCAGGCAGCGCTGGGCAGGCTGGCGGCTGGTAGAGTCATCACTGCTTCTTCTCCTTCACCACTCTGAGGGCTTTCGTGAGGCTTGGCCCCAGAGCTGGACCCTTTGCTGTTGTCATCATCATAGGACTGCCACAACCGCCCGCCCGCCAGCAGTTTACAGCCATGGCGTCCTCTCTCTGCACAAACACCTGTCTAGAATTTCACCGTATCAATCAACAGATATTTCCTGGGCACCTTCTGTGCCCCAGGCACTCTGGGAAAGTGACCAGAGATATAAAAATAGCCTCCTGTTCTGCCAACCCAATCCGGTGACCACTCGGCTGCCCTACCTAGCCTATCACCAGATGGACAATCTAGAGGCTGCCCCTTCCCAAACAGGGATGAGCATTCACAGATGCTGGCAAGAAGGTGTAAGGATGAAAGGTATTGTAATAGAGGTTTCATAAGGAAACATTATATCAAAGTCAGGGCTAGACCATAGTCCTTTTAATACAAGATCCTTCTGTCTTGTGGGGTTGTTTGTTAAGGACTCAGAACTACCCTGTGGGGTTACGTGGCTGGATTTATATGACTTTAGCCCTCTTCACCTTCTGTTCCCAAAGGCCAATTCCCTCTGTGACTGGCTTCTTCGGAAAAGCAGCAGTATCTCAGTGAGCAGGAGTCAGAGGGACAGAGCTCTACCAGCTGGACTCGGTAATATGAAATAACTAAAATTTTCTGGTACTTAGAGGAAAGCACTAATTAGATAATGTGACAGCTACAAGAACTGGGCTCAACCAATTTCTAAAAGATTTTTGAATTTTTAAAAAGCATGGCATGGAAAAACACTGGAAGGAGACACGCTACATTAACAGTATGTCATCTTTGAAGAGTGGGGCTATAGGTGATTATTTTCCCTTTGCACTACATTCTCTCACATTATTGCTCTTGTGACTTTAAAACCATTGTCGTAAAAAATCATTAGTTGGTGGGTGACTTATATGTTCTTGGGCAGGGCTTCAGTTTGGGAGGGAGCCAGCTTTGAAGTCATTGCTGTTTCTGGGGCAGGAGAGAGAGCGATGCCCTTGGGGAAGCACCATCCTCAGAGCACCTGGAGGCTGCCTGGGCCAACTCTGCCTGGCAAAGCCTCCCAGCCAGCCCTGCCCATCCTTGACCCTAAAGCAACTTGATGGAAAAGCAAAGTTTCCAAGTACAAAGCAGAACCTATTGACAGAGGCGTCAGGCCAAAGCCTGAAGGTCACCAAGCAGACTGTGGAGGAGGTGGCTGGTCCCAGGGACACCCCACCACCAGGCCACATTTTTGGAATCTCTGTACACAAACTCTAATTTATAGTGCTCTGGGATCATCCTCCCAGACAGAATACATTTGTCCAGTTCTGGCACAGATGTGTTTGATGCATAATGGAAAATGAAAAGAGAGGTTGCAATTTAAAGCCACCAGGCAAGGAGAAAAAAAAATCTGCGCTTGCTCATCCACACCCCTGAGACGCAAACCACATGGGTTTCCTTCTAGGTCAAGGAAACTGTGGCTTAGCTGAATGTCATCATTGTGTGGAGGGGAATCCTCCAAGCACGCTGCTGCTCACTGTGTCGGGGACACTGGGTGAATACCTGGTCAGGGCTGGTGTTGCTTGTGATGAGACAGAGGAGTCACCATTTTGTAAAGTGGCATCAGCAGAGACCATGTAGCCTTTTGGTCCTGTAAAGCTCATGAAATATTCTGCGTTCACCGGACTTTTAGTTGATCTACCACAGACTAGAAACTGTTTAAAAAAATTTATACGGAATCCAGTCAGCAATGAAGTGAGTAAGCCTAGTGTCATTAAGCTCTCCTCACTCCCTGCATTCTACACAATGGAAGAGGTGGTGGTCTCTGGAATGGCCTATAGGAAGCCTTCAAGCTCTTCTAATCCCAAATTTTAACCCTAACCAGTTGCCGTTGGGTAGATGCCAACTCATGATGACCCCATGTATGTCAGAGTAGAGCTGTGCTCCATAGGGTTTTCTTTTTTTTCTAATTTGTTGTTGTTCTTGAGAATATACACAGCAAAATATTCAATGGTTTCTACATATACAATTTAGTGACACTGATTACATTCTTTGAGTTGCACAACCATTCTCACTCTCCTTTTCTGACTTGTTCCTCCCCCAGTAACATAAACTCACTGCCCCCTAAGGTTCCTGTCTAATCTTTTGAGTTGCTGTTGTCAATTTGATCCCATATAAATAGTTCTTAAAAGAACATAATGCTGAGGAGACTCCGGCAAGATGGCGGTCTAGGCAGAAGCACCACGCCGTCCCTCCACAACAAAGATCCGAAAAACTAAGCCAAACAGAGAATCAACAATCCTGAAACC